CCAATAATCTTTCTCTTAAAACGAAGGGCACCTGAAATACAGAGGCATTGTTGTTTAAATCACTTAACATACTTACATATTTTAGACTTACCAAGAAAAAAAAAAAAAAAAAACACAAAAACCTGTTCAACATACAACAGTAATTCTTCATGCACAGTGTTATATTAGCGCTTCCAGAAATGTGAACCTAAAGATAAGGGTTATAAAAGTGTTATCATAAAGAATTTTATTATTGTTTAAATTTTTGCTGTAGGGCACATGTGCTCAGAGAGAGAGGGGGGCAGGGAGTGAGAAATCACCCCAGGTGGGATGCGACAGCAATCCCTTCTCCTCCATTCTCCTCCTGGGATTTTAGGCACAAATGTACACATGCCTAGTGTTTTTCAAGCCACAGGGTCCGGGAGATGTACTCTATAAGTAGTGTATATGTGTATCATCATAGAACACAAGTCTTAAAAAGCCAGAAAAATTCTGGAAACAAACCAGTTATTAATGATAAAAATGTAATTTATATCTGAAATGAAAGCTAAGACAAATATTGTAGTTGAGATGAAAAAAATTGCCAACATATCTTCTCGTATGACCTTAAAAACAGTAAAAATAATTGTTTTACTAGGGCAATCCACTGTATAATTTGGTTTTCAATTCTGGACACTCTTGTTACTTTCTATCACTGCTCATTCATTTAGTTTAGTTCATACTGGCTTATTTGTGGATGTGATTGGAGTAATTCTATAAAACCCACAAAAGTCTGCATGACCCCAAATTTGCCTTCCCATAGTTTAGAGATAAATTTAGAGGATGTTGTTAAAAATGTGGTTGGTCCTCTTTGCTTATTGCAGCGAGTATGCTTTTTAATTTGTTTCCTAATTTTGCATTTTACAATTAATTAGGCTTTAACTTACAGATTAAAAGGTATATTTACATCTTGAGGTATGGGGAGTTACTAAAAGTCACCATTCGTCAAGATCCAAATATACTCAAACAGCTAGACTTCAACAAAGCCCTCTTTACCTAAACAATATTATCAGTAAGTTAATGCCCCAGTTATTGTAAACAGTTCAAAAAAGCATACTCACTTCATGCAGTCACATCGTCTTCGGTTGGCAAGATTAAATATTGTGTTTGTATTTTGGTTTCTTTGGAGTTCATAGAAGTGGCTCGTTAAATTGCCAATTTGTTATTAATCAAGTCCTTCATGAGCAGGTAGCCAGGCAACCATGCTGACACGGTTTCTGGGTGGGAAGGCAGAGGAGTAAAGCAGCTCAATGTTTCTTTACTTGGCAGAAAAGAGGTCCACAGTGAATGCCCAATTAGGTACAGTTGATTATAAACTGCCTCAACAATTTTCAACTTATTGAGTGTATCTTTCTAGAGAAACACTCTGGGCAGGGAATTTCATATAGTTTATAGAATAATTGCATTTTATTTTTTAAACTACTGAGTATCTCAAAAGACAAGCATGGTGAAATAAGACAATTTAAACAAGAAGAGGCATCTTTGTGTGGTAAGTCAAAGCCTAACAAGGGTTGATTTCCCCAAATTTCAGTTTATTTTTAAAATAATTTTTTTTATCCTTTAATTGATGAAGGAATTTTGTGATGCAGTTCCATTTGTTAGAAAATCTACGCCTTAGAGGTCATTAAGTCAAATTTTAAGCTTTTAGTAATGAAGGCAAGAGCTATTATTTTAAAACTAGTATGCTCCAACTTTGTGGGCTTCAGACTTGTGTCCTACTGTAATACACACACACTCTTAACCCTGGCTGCATACAGTTCCCAGGTAGTGAGAAGAAACACCCTTCATGGATGTCACTAAGACCAGGACATGCAGATGGCACCACTACCACTCCAAGAGCGCTCCTTCTGAGAAATTGCTGATGCAGACAGAAGGTGGTTCTACTGGTGTTTTTGTTTTGGTTATTTCCACTTGCCCCCAGTTTATTTATATGACATTAAGAACACCGTATTTTCCATCAAACCCATCCCTGAAAAGAAACCTGCAACAAAAATTTCCAACCACTATTCTTTGCTGTTGAATAAAATGTTGCTTTCGAGACTGTCCCAGTGAAGCTCAAAGGAAATCAGAGAAAGTTTTTGGGGTAGGCTAAACCCACATAACCACAGGACTTTTGTAACATCTCTTTCATTAACATGCCACAGAACTCTTATGGTTAGTTTGAATGATCTCTTTTAAAAATTCATCTCCACCTTACATAACATGAGATTTCATGTATTAAGTCTGAGAGTTTTTTGCTTTATATGGAATAATGGTAACTGAATGAAAGTCTCTATATCAACGTTTTTTCATTCTTCTTATAAATTTCTGTATTTTTAACAACAAAAAACCCTCAACATAAAGATATAAACTAAAGAGCTACAATGGAAGATCTAAGACTCTTGAAACGGCCATTGAAAAAGATCGATGAAACTGGCACAACTTGTAAAGACTGAGTTGAGAAAGAATTGCCAATCTCATCTATGCCCTTGATTACTTGCCTTTAAATGTGACAAAGTGTACTAATTAAGTAGATATATGAAAAAAATTCTTTTAAGTCCACAAAATGTTTACAGTTAACTGGTTAACCTTTTGCACTTACACACTTGCATCTTAAAGGCAGGTTGAACATCTCCAACTCAAAAATCCAAAATCTGAAATGCTACAATATTTATAACTTTTTGAGCTGTGACATAACATCATAATTAGAAAATTTTTATGCCTGTCCTCATGTGGTAAACCAGTCAAAATAAAAAGCACTATATAAAATTACCTTCAGGCTAGTATATAAAAAACTTTAAGTGAATTCTGTGTTTAGTCTTAGTTTCCATTCCCAAGTTATCTCCTAGTGTATATGCAAGTATTCCAAAATCGGAAACACTTTTGGTCCCAGCGTTTTAAATAAAGGATATTCAGCAAGTATTTATAAAACTCCCCCCCCCCAAATGCTACAATATTTATAACTTTTTGAGCTGTGACATAACATCATAATTAGAAAATTTTTATGCCTGTCCTCATGTGGTAAACCAGTCAAAATAAAAAGCACTATATAAAATTACCTTCAGGCTAGTATATAAAAAACTTTAAGTGAATTCTGTGTTTAGTCTTAGTTTCCATTCCCAAGTTATCTCCTAGTGTATATGCAAGTATTCCAAAATCGGAAACACTTTTGGTCCCAGCGTTTTAAATAAAGGATATTCAGCAAGTATTTATAAAACCCCCCCCCCCCAAAAAAAAAAAAAACACCAAAAAACCTACACCAGGCCTAGCCTAGGTGGCATAGTCTGTGCTGTGCTGGACAGCAGTGCTAAAGGCCACTAGTCTGACAGGAGGTTTGGATTCCTGGATCAGTCAGAATACACATAGGCACATGTGTGTGAACCTATGCTGCTAAGAAGCTGGAGGGCTGAGGAAAGGGGACCGTGATGTGATGAGACACTTTTGAGCGTGCTGTCTCCCCACGTCCCTCTCTCCCCGCTTCTTACATGTATGGCCATGCACTATCATTAAAAAAACACCCAAAATAAAACTACACCTAATACTTTACTTTTCTGAAAAGAACACATATCTTAATTTTCTCCAAATTTACATGAGTTATTAGAAATCCTAATGAATGAATGGCATATTCTAAGCCGAGGTAAAAAGGGCCCACTGAGAAGTCATCTGAGAAAATTAGTTTTAGTGATGACCTTAGTTTAGAAAGTATCAACAATAATAAACTAATATTCTTCTAGAGTACTTAGCTTCTGGCAACATAGGCTTCCTTTAATTATAGCAATTCTTTCCATAGTTCTCATTAGATTGAAACATCTACTTTTTAAACATTTTTTTACTGTTTGGTCACAGGGTGTATGTGCTAACAGGGAGGGGCAGAGGGGAGTGAGAAAGTAGCCCACAGGGGAATGGTCCCATCAATCCCTTCTCCACTTTCCTCCTGGTATTTTGGATATGCAGCTACACATGCCCTGGCATATTTTTCAAGCCACCAAGTCCAGGACTTATACCAAGCAACCGGCCATGTGGGATCTAGCTATCTTAACCACCACGCCAACAGTTGGCCTAATTCAAAGTATTTTCTTTAAAATACTACAAACAAATTAATGAGATATATTAAACACTCTCCCCTTCAGATGCATATCCTGCTACTTTCTGAACCCATGTTTCCTACCCAGAGCAACCTAACATACCACATTGTCACACTTACCATCTTAACTGAGTATTCCAAGAATGTCACACTGTCACATGACCGTAACACAACTCAAGTTACCTCTTCTGGGACATTTTCCTGATCTGTCTTATTAACTGAGAATAAAGTGCTTCTGCTATGTTCCAAACACACCTCCATGTAGTGCTTAGTATGCTGTAATTTTATTTATTTATTTTTTTTGGAGAGGTTTTTGCTATAGAGTGCATGCGCTCAACAGACAGACAGAGACAGAGAGACAGAAAGCAAGAAATCACCCCCCCCGGGGGGGGGATGGCCACGCTGCAATCCATTCTCCTCCATTCTCCTCTGAGGATCTTGTGCATGCATTCACACATGCCTGGCGTGAGTTTTAAGCCGCTGGGTCCAAGACTCGAACTGCGGTCGGCTACATGGGAGTTCATCGACATAGTCATTATGCTAACTGCTGGTCCCTGTAATTTGATTTTCATATGATTTTTCCTAGTGAACTCTCTTCCCTTGGATAGCTGAGTCCAGGTCTTAATCATACTAGTTATATATCCTGCTTAATCAATCTAAGATGCCGCTAATATAAAATACTTCATTTCCCCCCACTATTAAGAAAAAACAAATACAGAAAAAGAGTTACCAATTATAAATGGCATGCCATTAACAATAACAATCACCTTGATCTCAGAGGTGACAAATGCATAAAAATATACATTAAAAAATATGGTAGTTAAGTACTTATCTGTTGAAAACTTTTTCTAGCCCATTCTAGCCCATCTGTTTATGAACTTCCTTTCCCAAATTTGAACAAGTTAAATTCAAAGAACAATTCAGAGTTATGAACTCCCTCTGATTTTAGTGTTGGTACTCTCACTTTTTCTCTGATAGGTATGTTAAGAACATGACTTTAAAAGCCCTTCTTCCATATGTGCCAATAAGCTCATGGATATAAACAATAGTAAAGTACAACAGAAATAATGAATTTATTTTTTGCTGTCTTGATCTAAGTTAATGCCCCAAATGCTACCTATTACCTTTGGCTGGAAGAGATTATTAAGGTAATATCAAAGTTTCTGGGTATTTGGAAGAAAGTAATTGCACTGAATATCTATAAGCTGGAAAAAGAAGACATATTCGGACTACATGTTATTTCAGTACATATTGTAGTGTGTAGACTAGCCTGAAAAACTAAGCCAAGAAATAAAACAAATGTCATCCAGATAGTTCATTGTGTTTTTCAGAAGTTAGTTTTAACATCATTTAAAGATAAAATTTTGATAAGAGTAAAACAAAAGAAACATCCTATGGATAATGTTATTTTTATAATTTAAGAATATTTAAAAAATCAATTAAGCAAGCAATTAAAAATGAAGTAAAAAAAATGTATACATTCAGGTCTCCAAATAGTGAGTAACTATGATGCCTAAAACAACAAAACACCCCAAGTTATCCTTAAAAACCAAAAAGCAAATGTTAATTACCAGCAGACATCTCTTACAGAGCCTTTAAAGGTACTGTTAAATTTGGTCTACCGACTTACCAGTTACGACAGTTTAAATATGAAAACTCACTACATAGAAGTCTGGCTATTACATAAGCAAGAACATTTCAGATTAACTTATTACCAATTCAAAACCAAGTTTTACTCCAACAAACTAATGTCAAAAACACCATAAAAATCTCATGTATAACCAAAAAATAATTTGTTAAAAGACTACTGTTCTAAAAGAGTCTGTAAACTTTTTGCATCTAGATTCACATGGTACATATTTTAGGCTTTGTGGATCACATAATGGATTCCATAGCATATTCTTTTTTCTATTTTTTAAGTTATACTCTAAATACACAATAACCATTTTCAGCTGTTAGGGTGTATAAAAATAGGCCACAGGTTGGATTTGGTCACTTATAGTTCACAACCCCTGCTCTAAAACAATAGGTAAAATGATCAGAGGTGTTTTGTTTTCGGCTATAGGGCACATGTGCTCACTGGACAGAGAGAGAAAGCTACAAAGCAACCCCCACAGGGGTCAGCCACGCCACAGTTTTTCTTCTCCATTCTCACAGGATTTTGGGTATATACACACATATGCACCTTGCAGGTTTTTCAAGTCACTGGATCTGGGACTCAAACCACTGAGTCAGGTAGGATACAGCCACTGGCTGGCCCCAAAGGTGTTTTTAATGATGTGAGTAAAATATAATTTGTAGGTATGCTTTAATCCCTTTGCTGCATTATCAATGAGAGAGAAAGTCAGGAAAACAACCTTCTCAATGGGGACAGAGTTATATAATCAGTGGTAAAGTTAGTAGCAGAACCTAGGTTTCCTGTGATCTTATCCTAGTTTCCAGTGACTTCATCTACGCTTCAGGCAATAAGATTTAAAAGATACCAACATGATAATAGATAAAGACAGTAAATATTTCTAGGAGAAACAACACTTACATAATGCCAAGAAAGCATGTTTCGAAGCCATAAGAACTAGGACTCTCCGAAGGATATCTTTATTAATAATGTAGTTCTTTATGTGGTAGGTATGGTGCTCCACACAAAATGTTAACAATTCCAATACAAGTGCCAATAGCTGGGCAGTCTGAAAATCATCTAAAATAAACAAAGACAATTATATTTAATGACTAATATTAATTTCCTTCTAAAACATAACAGTTCAGATTTTTAAAAACAAATTTTCAGAAGGTGTATGTGCTTGCCAGAAACAAAGCAAGCAAGGGGGCAAGCACCATCCAATGGGGTCTGGTCACACTGCGATCTCTTCTCCTTCTCTGTCCTGTTGGGATTTTAAGCACGCATGCATATATGCTCAGTGTGGTTTTTCAAGCCACTGAGGTCAAGATTTGAATTGTGGTCAGCTATGCAGGATTCAGCTCCCTTAACCACTAGGCTATGGGGCCTGCCCAAGAACTCAAATTATAATCAAGTAAAATCCCTATTTCTATTTAACCCAAAATTTTACTTAGGAAAGAGGAAATTAGCATTTATTGAATACCTACCATGTGCCAGGAACTGCGCTTATTTCTTATTTCATTTACAACCCTATGAGGAATTAGTTTCACAGAATTATGAGTCTATTAACCAAACTAGAACGAAGTGGGGAAAATGAGAAAGGCAGAGTTAAGATAAAAATCTAGCAGACCTGCTTTATTTCAAAGTACAAGACCACTCTACAATGTGTCAACACATCCCCGAACAGCTGTACAGATAGTATAGGAGATCTTGACAAATGCTACCTTGTCTTTGGTACAATTAACTCACTTCCTGCTCCCACGATCCCAGTGTGTTTTGTGGCTTCTTTTACTACAAACCATGAGTCCACAATGAATTTTAATTACTGGCTTATCTTCACTCACCAGGCACAAGCCTCTGAAAATATTTACTTTATTCACCTCCTCCCCATTTACACTGTATAGAATTATAGCACACAATAAGTTAGATGAATTGAACATGTGAGTTGGGAAAGAACCTTCAAGCTTTACCTAATATACATACAATTGGTGGGGAAAATTAATATTCACGCTTCAAAGATTTGATTCTAGAGTCACAAAAAAGCAAATTTAACATGTATTTTCTATAAGTGATATTAACAAGATAAATATACCATATTGAGAATTAATTTATTACTACTGATTCAATAAGTAATTTCCAGAGACCGAGAAACTATATCCTAAGCTAAATATAAACACATTAATTAAAGGCCCTAAAGAATAAAAGCCAAAAAAAAAATAATCCTACCATAACCTCAATGAAATTTGAAATAGCTTGAGATTCAGGAAAAGATTAGCTATATCTACTACACATCTGGAGTACAGATAACTTAAAATGAATTTCATCATAGGTACTTCATTTGTGTAGATAAGGATTAACTTACAGAGATTGTTAAACAAAACACTGTTTCAAAATTCTGAAAGCAAATAATTTTCATTTCTTTTTTTTACATAGTTATCTCTGATTACAGTAGGTTTAAAATAAAGATTTTGGTTAATAAAAGTTGAGATTTTACTTGATTAGAATTTATACAACAGAGAAGACAAGGCGCTGGTATCTGCCTGAAACCACCATAAAGAAAAATAAAGCATCTTGTACTTTCTTTACTTTTTAAATTTAATTTAAAAAAATTTGCTATGGGGGGCCAGCAGGTGGAGAAATGGTTAAGGCACTGGATTCCCACATGACCAACCACGATTTTAGTCCCAGACTTGGTGGCTTGAAAAATCACACTGGGTGCATGTGTGCGCATGCCCAAAATCCTGAGAGGAGAATGGGGAGAGATTGCAGCATCACCATCCCTTTTGGGGCATGACTTCTCACTTTCCCCACCCTCTCTGTCCAGCAAATGCAAGTGGCCCATGGCAAAAAATCTTAAAAAAAAAAAAAATCGCTATAGGGGTACATATGCTAGCTGGAGAAAGACAGGGAAAATGAAAAAGCACCCTACGTGGTGGGGTGGCCATACCAAAATCCCCTCTCCTACATTCTTCTCTTGAGATTCTGGGCATACAAGCTTACACTCCCAGCAAGTTTTGCAAGCTGCACAATGTGGGACTTGAACTGCAAGGTCAGTCATGTGGGATCCAGTCGCCTTAACCACCATGACACTGTCTGGCCTGTACTTTATTTTCAAAGTCTCATATATTGTAGATAATACAGTTCAGTAATATACACATATACATATTTCTAAAACCATTAGTCCTGTAATGGAAGCATCTAATATGTTAAAGCTAACATGGAATTTATAGGTAATGAGAAGCTTTGAAATGAAGATTGAGGAAAACATATAAATCCATAGGATATTTTTAGTTATTATATTCACAAATGGGAAATAATTTAAAGCATAATACTTTATAGAAGATTAATGTCAATTCTTATAACATATTAAATAATCCTCAGTTTTGTGAACGGGCTCGAACTGTTAGCTATGTTAATCTAATGATCTGAACTTGTAAAACTGCCTTTTTTTTTTAAGGGGACCCTCCCCCCAGGAATGTTACTTAAAACCAACATTGAGTTTCAGAATTCAAGAACAGAGAACTCAACTCCCAACCTGCAATATCTTACCTTTACTAGGTTTGTCTTCTGTTGTATTTGCCAGTAACGGAGCAGTGAGAACATGCATACAGTGCTTATAGAAGAAACCCAGAAATTCAGTCTTTTCTGTTTTCTAAGGAATCAAAAACACTTCCATGAACTTTAACTGCACTGACTCTATCAGTAATAAACATACTAGCTTTGAAAAAGAGGAAAAACATCCATGGCTTACATTGGCAGTGGCTAGCATGTTCTCTGGGTCAACTAAAGTTCGAAGCAGGCCCATAAGTTGGACTGCTCCTCCAAGTTCAGGATCTGTATCACAAATCATATGTTCTATAATGAGGTTGATGAGCAAAATATCCTGGTGAGAAAAATACACATAATAGGGATCATTAATTTTAAGAGAATAGAAATAGCAAAAATAAGTCATAAGCCACAACATTATACATAGCTCTAGGTGTGTCCTGTTAACTGCAAAGAACATGAAGTGACTGACTGACTCGCTTCTTTAACAGGATATATGGCAGTGTTTCTTTCTAAAAAGTGTGGTACAGAGACATTACACTAAACAGTACCAAAAAGAAAAGGTTTCTTTTTCTATTGTCTATATGGTCTTCTCCCGAAAGCAAAAACAGTTTCAGTTCGGTGCTTGTTGATCTTTACAGCTCTCTAACAACATAGTCTACCTTCTGAAGAAAGTTTTAGGTTCATAACTTTAATAGAATATTTAGCCCAAATCTTTAAACACTGCTCTACTTTACACCTATTTGTATAGATTCCTTCAACTTATGGCAATATAGCTGTTCTCCATTAAGGGAAATCATATAGTTTCCTTTAAAAATAAATTCAGAAAAAAATTTACTTGGTACCTGAATGTTTAAAATTGGGCAAAATAAGATTACGGTATTTAGAAAATGTACAGAACAACAAATGGATTATAAAGATTCCAAATGTCAAAGAAAATACACTGCTGGATATTTTGAGGTGCTATTGTATTATGATTGGTATTCCTGGCCCAAGTAGTACACAAAAACTAAGAATGCAATGAGAAAAATTCCTCCTCTTGTCTATATATGCAATGGTAGAATAGACAGGAATAGAGAAAATGCAGACAGTATATGGAAATGATGAATGAAAATGGGAATCAAGAGGCCTACTGCATGTGAGTGAAGTATCATAAAGTACACCAATGTACTTCAACTACTGCATTTTGGAGACCAACAGACAGCCCTTATTTTCAATAATACAGATTGTGGTTCTCAAGAGAAGATTATTTCATAAAAGAAAATTGTGATCCAACAGTTTGAACTGGTACTGTCTGTACCTACCCTGGCCCAATAATTTCAAGTAACGAAGTATTTTCTCATTTTAAAAAATACCATGTGCTAGAATTCTGCACAGATTTTTTTTTCCCACTAATGGGTATCTTTCCCCTCTATTCTTAAGACGTTTATGCCAGAATATCTTAGTCTATACTAAGTAAAAAGCTACTTCGAGGAAAAGAAAGAATCACTAGTTTAATTATCTGAAAATAAAGCAAAAGAGCACATTTAGGGCTTCCAAATGTCATGTATCACATGATGATCCATAAAAACCAGGATACACTATGCGTGTGTGTTTGAGTGTGTGTTTAAGGGAGGGAGGGAGGGAGGAAGAGAGAGAACAAGATATTAGCTTGCTATCTATGGTTAGGCAATGGAGAAACAAAACCCTATATTCATGAGACTGCTCCATTTGATCATTCTTTATGATTTTGAGAATCTAGTCCGAAGCAAATTCAATGTTTTCCTAAGGAAGTTACTCATAATTACATACAGAAGAACAACTGATTGAGTAAATGATTTAAATAAGACAAATAGGAAGTTCGATTCAGAATTAAAAACAAATATCAGAAAATTTAAAAGACAAATTAATATGAACAAGTAACTCCTGTAAGACGATAAATTCATAAACAGAGACAGGAGCCAATTTAAGGAAGGAATATGCCATTTGATATTAACTATAATCTTCCCAAACAGCAAAGATTTAAATCTTAAAAATGAGTAAGAAGTACAGTTATAGCTTCCTATACATATAATACTTACTGTTAGTGCAAATAATATTTACCTTGCTGGTTATTTTTTGCTCTGTTAACTTCTTACTTACATCATCATTCTGTTGTGCCTCCTGCATGACAAACTCTCGTACCATGGATGGATTATATTCAACCAAGTATGAGAATATATCAGTAGCAGCACTTCGCACCTGTGTATCATCCATGCCCTGCAGACAAAAAACACTTAATTCTCCTATATCATAAAAATATGGAAACCTGTAGCTATGCAAGTATCAAAACTAATGAATTTTTTAAAAAATCACAATGTAAAAGTAAAATTCCACTGCACATAAAACTTCATTTTATGGGTAATATTTTTTTCCCTAAATTATTTGTTCTGGTTTGCCTTTCTATTTTAACAGTTTTATCTAAGCAATTGCTAAGAGATTATTTAAAAATACAGAAAATTCTTTTAAAAAGAACTGTTTCAATACTGTATTAAATATACTGGCTACAATTAAATTCTTACACTTTATAAAAATACTACTTTCGTAGTTTTAAAAAAACATTAATTAAAAATGAGGAGAAACAAACTTACGAGGATGACTTCTAAGGCTGGTAATATGCCCATGTTTGACAGAGTCTTGAAAAAAGCATCTCTGTTCTGAGGTTGCAGCGTTTGAGAAAACGCACAGAATTCTTTTAAAAAGTTAACCTGAAATTAGGAAAAAGGGTAAGTGTATACACAAGAGCACTTCAAAAACTTTATGGAAAAAATGGACTTACAGTATTTTAGTATAAAAAATTCTGAAATGTACACACACACATACATATATGTAAAAAAACATATATAATTATTTACTAATTTATTTGAGATTATGTTTTTGCTATGGAGTGTTTACGCACACCAGAGACAAAGAGAGAGAAAGCAAGAAATCACCCCTCCTCCCAGGGGGATGGCCATGCAGCAATCCTCTTGCCTCTATTCTCTTCTTGGGATTTTGGGCACAGGTCCCCGGCATGAGTTTCAGGCCACAGAGTCCAGGAACCCAACAGCCCTCGGCCATGTAGAAGTCCAGTGCCTTAACCACTACACCACCTACTGGCTGCACGTATTTTTTAGAATATGCATTTTCCATGAAATTTGTGAAGACTCCTCAATAAAGTTTCTTTTATTACTATGCTTTTCATAGTATCTAATTTCTTACCAATTCCTGTCTTTTTTCCTCATCTGTTGCTTCATCTGTTAGTTGTGCAAACAAATCTGTCAGAAACTTTTCATCTTCCTGTTAGATAAAAGACAAATTTAATTATGTTAGGTGAGAGTATATGAAATACAATTTAAGGGTGTTAACAGTATAAGATATAAATTATAATACCTGGAAAAGTAAAAATGGTACCAGTAATGTTTTTTAAAAGAGAGGAGAAAAGCAAGCTATTAAAGGATAAACTGGAGATTCGTATCGAAAAATTATTCTATTTGGCATGGATCTATTTCCTAAGCCTATTTGAGGGCCTATTTTAGGCTCTAAAGGCCATCTGGTCTCTCCTACAACCACTCGATTCTGCTACTGCAGTATGAACGCAGCCCTAAGACAACATGGAAATGACTAAGTATAGTTGTATTCCAACAAAACTTATGCATAATTTGCTTCCCTCTTATTTTTACTTTTAATCTGATTGGTTTTTGGGAAAATCAAGATACTTCTTTTTTTTTTTTTGAGAGGTTTTTGCCATAGGGTGCGTGAGCTCGCCAGACAGACAGAGAGAGACAGAGACAGAAAGGAGAAATCACCCCCTGGGGGGGTGGTCACGCCGCAATCCCTTCTCCTCTTGGGATCTTGGGCACGCATGCACACACGCCCAGCGTGAGTTTTAAGCCACCTTGTCCGGGATGCGAACTGCAGTCGACTACGTGGAAGTCCAGTGACATAGCCATTACGCTAACTGCTGGTCCCCATATGTTTTTTAAAACATATTGTGATTTTCCCGACAACCTAATATTTCATCCATGAGTCAGAGAGAGAAAAAGAGAGCATACCTAAGAGGGTATCAATGCTGCAATCCACCCCACTCAACCACAAATCAAAGACAAACACATGCCAAGATAATTAAAGAGGAAAACACAGAACCTTCCTATGCGGATCAGCTTCACAGAGCACTCTGTTTTTGTTTTTAATAATATGTGTGTGTGTATATGTGTGTGTGTATGTGTGTGTGTGTGTGTATATATATATATATATGTATATGTATATGTATTTGTATGTATGTATGTATTTAACCAACCAACCAACCAACCAACCAACCAACCAACCAACCAACCAACCAGAGAGGGGGAGAAGGGGAGAGGGAGGGAGGGAGGGGGAGAAGGAGGGAGGTGGGGGAAGAGAAAGAAAGAAAGAAAGAGAAAGCAAGCCACCAGGTCTGGGACTTGAATAGTTTGGCCATCTGGGAGTCCAGAGCCCTTAACCACCTCGCCACCTGCTGGCCCCAAGCACTGTGCTTTATTGCAGTGACACCATCAGGCCTAGTTTTATAGAGTTCTGTACTCTTAACCTTCAAAGTTAAGATTCATCTCAAATGAAAATGAAGATAAAGTGTCCATCAGGTTTTACAAGATGTAGAAAACAGGGCAGATGGTGTAATAGTTACGTCACTGGATTCCCAAATGGCTGACCTTGGTTTGAGCCCCAGACCTGGTGGCTTAAAAGAGTGGAGGAGAAGGGATTGCAATGTGGCCATCCTCTCTGTGGGGTGATTTCTCGCCAAGAGGAGAACTGAGGAAAAGGGACTGTGGCATGGTCATCGCCTGAGGGAGAGATTTCTCGTTGTCTCTCTGGCAAGCACACATGCTCTAAAGCAAAAACTCTCTCTCCTAAAAACAAAACCTCTCTTTCTTTTTCTCTCAAAAAAAGAAAAAGATATAGAAAATAATGCAATTATTTCAAAATGCTGAATTTGGAGCTTTTCAAGAAACATCTATTATTTGAACCTATCCATACAGAGAATATGTATACATTTTTAAGAATTATTTTACTTAATTTTATTATTTTAAAAAAATCTGACCAGAAAGAATCAGAGAGAGAAAGAGGGAAACAGGAAGCAAGCTGCCAGGTTTGGAACTCGAACTGTGGTCACCCATGTGGGAATCCAGCACCTTAACCACTATACCACCTGCCAGCCTTAATATATGTATTTATTATTTTGAAAAATATTCAAAGGATACCCTCACAAGATATTAATCTATAATAGATAAACAGGTCAGAGACATCTAGAACTTGAGTCCTGGACACTGTGGCTTATACTCACGCCAGGCGCGTGTGTGTGCGTGCCCAAGATCACAAGAGGAGAATGGAGAAGGGATTGCGACGTGGCCAATTTTCTCGCTTTCTGTCTCTCTGGCAAGCACATGCACCCTGTAGCAGAAAACCTCCCCCCCCCCCAAAAAAAAAGTTTACCCAAGCCCAATCAATTAGCAGTTGATAATCTTTCTGATTAATTGCTTAATTTATCTCATCATCAGTTTTTCCATCAAGATTCTATTATATTTTAATTTCATACTACCTCAGCTAGTAGAATTCAACATTATTTTATCCCTACAAATGCCTAAATATACACATACATATATATATAGGACTGTGTATGCAACTTCCATTAGATTGTAAGTTCCTTACTCAAGGTGTAGGTGCTTAGATAACTTATTTTTTGGGTGCTACACTGAATTAGTTTGGCTAGTCCCACCTTTGTTTGCTCTTTCTAAGATGTAAAACAGGCCATACCCTGTTAAATACTGTTTTAACTGTTATCAAACTATGCATCCAATTTCAAGATGTACCCCAGATATGATATATTCTGCCAACTGGAAATCAAACAATTAAAAAAAGATTCTCTAGGGACCAGCAGATAACAGAACGGTTATGTTGCTGGATTCCCACGTAGTTGACAGTGGTTTAAGTCCTGGATCCAGCAGCTTGAAACGCACTGGCATGTGTGCACGTATGCCCAAAATCCAGAGAGAAGACTGAACGGGAAGGGACTGCCGCACGGCCATACCCCCAAGGGTGATTTCTGGCTTTCTATCCTTCCAGTGAACGCATGAACCCTATAGCAAAAAAATCTCTCTTAAAAACAAAACAAAACAAAACAAAAACAAAAAAACCTCAACTGCTGCAATTGAGGGTGGGTAGAGAAGTAGAGAGAATAAGAATGTTTCGTGATATCATGTAGTCAATGGTAAAGGGAGGGTATGACTGAATGTGTGTGTACCCAAAGTGGGTAGGAACCTGTTTTTTCTCGGGAATCTGTTTTTTTATTGGGGAGAGGACTTTTCTATAGGGCCTGTGAGCTTGCCAGAAAGACAGAAAGCAAGAAGTCACCCCCTGGGGAGATAGCCAGGCTGCAATCCCTTCTCCATCCGAGATTCTCTCGGGATCTTGGGCACACGTGCACTTGGGCACAGGTGCACATGTGCCCTGTGTTGTTTAAGCCACCGGGTCTGGGACTTGAACCCCATTTGACTACATGGGAATCCAGTGACATAGCCATTATGCCAACTGCTGGTCCTGGGAATCTGTTTTAAAATGTGCCTCAAATACCTCTTGCAAGACATGTAGTGTTGCTGCCTTCACAGCAGCACTTTAATTCATAAGGTGCGTTTGCTCACCAGAGACAGAGAGAGACAAAGTGAGAAATCACCCCCTGGGGGGATAGCCACCATAATCTCCTCTACACTCTGGGGATCTTGGGCACGCACACACATGAGCCCAGCATTATTTTCAAGTCACCGGTTCCATGGACCAGGACTTAACTGTCATTGGCCACGTGGGTGTCTAGTGCCTTAACCATCATGCCATCTGCTGGCTCCTAAACTAGTACTTTTTATTTTTATTTTTAAAAGGTGACAAAGACAAGGCAACTGAAAATACTAATAATTTAAAGAGCAGGCCAGCCCCCTGGTTAGGAACCCAAGTCCCACAAAACCAAGAGCACAGCTCAAATTATGGCCCCAGTGACTTAAACACCACCAGATGCCTGTGTATGCATGTAAGCCCCAAATTCTGAGAGGAAGGAGAAATGGAAGAGAAAGGACTGTAGTGTGACCATGTCCCCTGGAAAATTAAACATTTTTTTTTCTTTGAGATTTTTGCTACAGGGTACATGCACTCACTGGAGACACGAGAAGAAACAGAGAAAAAAAGCGAGAAATCACCCCCCTAGGGGACGGCCACACTACAATTTCATCCCCTCCATTCTCTTCTCGAGATTATGGGCGCACGCACACATGTGCCCGCCATGAGTTTCAAGTTACTACCAGGTCCAGGACTTGAACCATGGTCGGCCATGTGGGAGTCCAATGCTTTAACCATTATGCCACCTCCTGGTCCCCCAAAAAAGTTTCCCCTAAAAGGTCCAGACATGAGGATTAAATACACTAATTTATTTTTAACATGTGCCACTAAGCAGCTCTTTCTGACATCTATTAACCTTTCTATATTTAACAGATCCAAGTTTCAAATAATTACTGTTATGTCTTAGAATACCTTCCAAGTCATCTCACACTTACCTGAAATTTTTACAATATCGTATGCATCAAAGAAAGAAACCAACCAACCCTACAGAGGGTATGCAAATGGTAAATCTTTCCTTGTACCATACAGACTTCTATCAAAGATAGAACAAAACACACATTATGGGATGACATAGTAAGAGGCTCTCAACTTTGAGAGCATTATAAATGCAGATTACTGGCCAGCGTTCAGAGACACTGATCCCATATTCTGTGTAGAACCTAGGACTGTACCCTAGGTTATTCTGAAGCAAGCACCTTAAAACATCAGACCTGAGACTATATGCTCACTATAGAAAGAAAATCTGGAGTTTAAGAAGGAATTATGAACACATACTTTAAAAAAAGTGCCACACCTTCAACACCACACCATTTAACCTTCAGTTAACTTTATACTGTAGGCACTAATAGCACTATCCTTAAGATGAAGAAACTAAAGTTTTAAAAGATGTTAAGAAATATTTGCCCCCTCTGCTATACATTCCCTATAAAACTGAGCCTCCACTGTATCATATATTACCTGAAATTTCTACAAGTTCTATGCAATTTACAGTCTAGGGACCAGCAAGTGACATGGTGGTTAAGGCGCTGACTACTGTTCAGAGTCCTGGACCTGGTAGCTTATTTTCTCACGTGCCCTGCCCCCATTCCCATTCCTCTCTGATGAGTGCACATTAAGGGGAAAAAAAGATAAATAAAATTAAATAATTCTTAAAAAAA